TACCTCATGAAAGTTAGGGTGAAGTGGCGAGTATACGTTGCGATCACGAACATTAATGCATTGTAGCACGTATTGGTGAATCATTTTGTTCTTTCCAATATCTAACCCAGGGGTTAGAACCCTTCAAATGATGCTCCCTAATTGATAAGTTCCTCTTTCAATCCGTTAGGATGTAGGAGTTAAATGCGGTCTCTCTGCATCATTAGAGTACTTGAATTATCGTACCGACAGGGTAATTTATTGTTAAATTAATCAGAAACATTTTTATTGGATTAATTACTTTTATTAAAATAATTAATTTTTTTTCTTAACATTTAAAATAAATTATTATTATTGCAATTTAATTTATCAATCGCAAAAAAATTTATTTTATTTAAAATAATAATGTAAAATATTAAATATTTATTATAAATAAATTATCCACTGACATCCAGTCTGAAGTAAGGATTAATAAGACCTCAAAAAAAAATTTAATTATATAGGACAGTTTTCTTTGGACGGCACGTGCTAGGGTGAGTTTAAATCAACATCTGTTGCATCTTGCAAGACATCTCGGAAAAGTCGATAGTATGTTAGAAAATGTGCATTCAAGAGTTCCTACATCTTAGAAACGTATCATGCGTTAAGTAAAATACCTGGTGCACTTTTCGTTACGGTGGGGTAGTTTTCACCTGTTTCGTTTCACTAATGAACACGACACATGGTGTTCCTACCGTCATTTATTTATCCAACTGACTGTCTACTGTTTCTAATATCATGAAAAGCTCTACCTATACCAGTATACTAGTCATCAGGGTCAACGACATTTGATAGTTTAAAATGATCAAGGATCAATAATAATTAATTCAAAAAAATTAATTCAATCAATTTTAATATCAAATGCTCATTAACACTTGCAACATTATTTTATTTAAATACTCTAAGTGAGTGATTAACAGTCATTATGACAGAAGTGTTGATAAATGATTGAGGTGTTTTTTTAGTTGTAGAAGAGAGTTGTAACGGTGGCACGTGCCGTTACAATATGATCTCTAGCATGCTGTTGATTCATTGAAGAAGTATTTTCATATTATAACATTCTTATAGGGCAATAGCAGAATAGTAAAATTAACAATTGAACACTTAGCTATATTTATTTGCATTGTAGCAGTAAAGTAAAATTTAATTAGCCTTTTTTTAACAATTTAAAGTCGGTTAATTTCAGTTGCGAATCGCAGCATGAGGTTGCTCTTGTAATCTGCAATACTCTTTAGACATATGTGTGAGTTCACCACCTCGTTGAATCTTACACTTATAACCTACCATATGAGCATACATAAAACGACGTTTTACCATCTGGCATAAGTTTCTATGTATATATATGGTATTCCCTTCGTTTTTATGTATGTATACATGCTATTCACCCCTCGTCGACTTCCAGTTTGAATACACGAATACCACTATACCCACACGCATCATTGCGAGCTAACAACCCCCTTGGACTTGGCTCGTGCCGCTATATATTGTCACGGTTCTTCAATAAATAAAATGAAAAAGAGGGAAAGGTAACTAACCCCAACTTTCTTTACCATCTTTTTCTTTTGCTTATCTTCTGTCTCTCTTCATTTCGATCTTAGATATTCAAACTTTTCATAAAATCATGTGGGCGTTGGTGATGCATATGTAACATGAATGTAATATGGTTTGATTGATGATCCAGGTTATTTATTGGATACTTTTTTCTATTTGAATTCTAAAATTAAAATAATATCATTAATAAATCATTTGATTTTTCAGTTGATATCTTTATTAGGAATAATTAAAACCTAACTATGTTGATAGAATAATTTTTAGCAGTTATTGGTTTATTATTTCAACCATCAACATTTGATCTTCCTAGAAAGTTGAATTGCTTACTAATTCATTGCTATGGTAATTTGATGCGGATCAATAGTTGAAGGCCTAAGCTTCCACATTTTAGGATATCCTGCAGAGTGCAATGACCTTCTAGATTGAATCCCTGCAGCTACAAATACATTACTTCCGTAGATTGAATTAGTATATTTGAGCTCAAGGTGTTTGAGTGAGTGAATGAACGGCTGGATGTATTTATGTATATACAAATAACTCAAATAACATCTCCACCCTCTCTCTGGATTTGTTTTACTCAGTAATTTGGTACTAAATATCTTAAGTATTTATGTTTAGTTGGAATATACGTTGCCACGTGTTCCACAAAACTTCATGAAACTGGTTTTTCCCTATTGAAGACATGGAACACTTCTTGTCAGATTCACTGAATAAATTAGCGAAGAATATATGTCTGAAATGAAATTCAAATGAAATGATAGAACGAGTCTTTGGCACAAGAGTAGAATAAATATTACAACGTACGTTTTGCTCTCTGAACTTGTTATATGGATGTGTAAGGAGTAGATTTCGTGTCTTCCGGAAGCAGATATTTTATATACATGGATAAGGCTTCTTAGTCGCGTGTGCTTGGCGTGGCACAGGATGAAGATAGTCGTTGGAATTTAGTCGTAAAGGTCGGTATTGGAGAGGAAGGAATCACAGCTGAAGGCGTTTCCTTCTCTTTAACCTCCGATTATCTTTTCTCTTACTACTTCTGTTATTTATTTGACTTATTCATGAACAGTTTATCTATAGATACATTTAATTCACTTCTATTTTTATACCTACTAGTTTCTCAATATATTTTTACCAAAGTTATTACCATTTTTTCATTTGTACAATCAATTATCAACTTCTAAATCATCATAAAAATAGATTTGAAATAAACTGGCATAAAATGATCATTTGAAAGTGATGATCATGATTTTGATATCAACAAAGCAATGATAGTTACAGTAAGACAGTTGATTAACAATTAAATATGTTTTACAAGTTAGATTAGATAGTTGAGTAATTAGGACTAATTAAATGGATAATTTATTTGTAACCGTATTATGTTGTTGGGATACTCCTTGATATCACTAGTGCGTAAGATGTGTTGAAAAGACAGTCAACATATGTGTAAAAGTTCCAGTTGTTCACGGCTGATGCGCTGAACTTCCTGCGGAAGTCAAATTCCCGAATTAAGCAGGAAAAGAAAGAAAAATAGTAAAAAATAAATAAAAATAAGAAGGGAGCACATCTGAGGGGTTAAAGTTAGAAACTTGGCGCACGTCTGTGTTTCTTTTTCTTCAGCATGTGTTATCTACCCTTGACAATTCAATGTCCTCTAATGTTTTCTTATAAACATATTCAATTTCACAGTCATGTGGACATATGTACTCTGAAATTTAGGTCAATTATCTTGACAACATGTCTAACATTACATTATAATTTGTTTCTTTTTTTCAACATTTGAAATCCAACTTTATCAACTAAAGATTCTATCCCTGTCGGTAAGAGGAACGTTGGGAGACCTGGTCCATGGAGATGTAGAGGTCTGGGATGACCTTTATTTATATTATCTGGAAGAATATTAAGTTAAATTCAATTGCCAACTGTTGTAAAGGTATAAGAAGGTCATTTGTGATTCAGAAAAAGAGTTAGCTGAGATTGAATATCTTGGTGAGTTGAAGAAAGTACGTACAAATATTTAGAGTTAATGTAAAGCAGTTGCTGGCTATAAAACTCGAGAGAGTGGAAGCAAGCTGCGGTTGATTAATTAGTCATATGTTTACTTCCCACGAAGACTTGATCGTTGGTGCCCTTCAACCATATGATGATGGCATATGTGTAGAGAGATATATGCTCCACTGTTATTAATCTCAAGCAAGCCATGCTATTCGTGACACTCTATAAAAATAAAAAATGAATTAATAGTGATATAATAGATAAAAAGTAGTAGATAAAATTGTGAATGGAAAAGATATTTACCAGGGACAGAGTATACCCACATAGGGTGGTCTCCAAATACTGGGAGGTTGGAAATGACCATATTCTTCTTTGAGGAGAAAAAACGGACGTTTTTTTGTCATTTTTCCTTTAATGCTTGTTAATAGAGTCAATGTTTTGAATGCACTTCTCAACAATGTCTGTGATAATCACGTTGAAAAGCGCACGAAATTGATTTTAGTTGGAAATCCTGCCCTCATTTATAATAAGAAAACCGAGACCATTTCATTGTGTCATTTTTTACCAAGAAATTTAGACGATAAAAAATAACGTGGTTACTCTATATAATGTTAAGAATATATATTAGACAAGTTGATGTCCACATGTTTTAACTCCCTTTATTCTTAAAACAGGAAGAACACTTTAAAAACTTCCATGTGCTTCACATATGCATTGACGATCTCCTGCTAAGAAAATTTCTACGCTTTTGCAGGTTTTTTCGCTCGTGAAGGGACTATTGTGTAGTATTAGATTGAACCTGAGACCGGTCTTTGGGTTTTCTGAGAATTCTCAACAATTTTTGTTCGTCTTCAATAGAACCTGAAGGTGATAAGACAGGTCCATAGAATAGAATTTTCTTGTTGAGAAAAATATTTTTGTTTCGTGAGCTGGATTACTTTAATCGGACTTCAGTGCAAGCGTCCATCATCATCAGGGGGGTTTTGTATCATATGGGAACTACTGATAGGGTAGATATGCTTGCAGCTGGTCGTATGATTCATACATGGTCTTCTCTTACTCTACCCTGCACACTCTATCATCACACTAGTATTACTGGGCACGAAACGATGTGAATATATTTCGATTGAGGGTGCTGGTAACGTGGAGGGGAACATAGACATTGGAATAACTGTTGTGAAAATCCACTCATATCATCATTACATGTGAAATCCTCATCATTGTTACGTTTTAAATTTATCAAGCTTCTTGTAGTAGTCATTTTATAAATTAAATTATTGAGTGATAGACAAATCACTTTTGGAGTAAAAATTACTCTAAATGAGCTTTATGCTTTTTGGAGTAGATTTTACTCCAACTTTGAAAGTCAAGGTATTTTTTTGCTCTAAAAGTAGCCTTAGTTTCTATTCTATAAATTGATTAAAATTTTTTTGTTGCAGATATCGTTCAGAGTAAATTGCTGGGAAAGTACGACGTTGAAGATGAAAAACGGTGAGTGAGTATATTTATTGGTATATAATGATATAAAGGGAGAATCTGATTAAAGTTTTATTGAAAAATTTCATTGGTCAATTAATTAAATTCAAAAAAAGCCACAAACGTTACTTTTTAGGCTATTGAAAATTTTTAATCTATTGACAGAAAATCAATACATCATGAGCATAAATCGAATCTGTTATACAATAAGAATCAAAGTTAAAATGATGTATAAATACATTAAAATAATTTACTGGAAAAGAAAGTATTCCCAACCGTTTTTATTGAATAAAAATGTGAACATAAAAGTTCTACTGCGTATATTTACTAGGAAAAAAGACATAAAAAATTGATTGAGTGTTTGCTGTGAGGCAAAAAATGGGAAATGTAGTTCAGGTTGAAAGGTTGATTTTAAGAAATTCATTGACAACTTTGGTAGTGTACTTTGTAAGCGAAGACGATGGAATGTGTAACGGTGTAGAGGTATACAAACGTGCGATTCATACCTCCCACATTTTCCCATGAATTTCCTTATAGAAATCGGTACTCATATGCGCGTTGTTATGTGAAATCAGTGGAATCTTAAAAAGACTTGAATCTCCAATAGAATATTATTGGAACAGATATATAATCCTGCTGACATGCATGGCGCCGCGAAAGCTAAAAGCAAATCTTTTTTATCCTGACGTTATATTACTGTTGATGTATTCCAACCGTTTCCTTAATTCTCAGAAGCATATACCGATCGCGAAATAAAGAGCCTCCTGTAAGATGAACCGGCCCGTGGCAAAGGATCTTTATTATAGTCACGTGGAATGTGCCCAAGACCAACGGAAATCTCTTCAATCGTAGAAGGAAAAACGGCCAAGTGCATACGTACTGACAAAAAGGTACAATGAAGCTGATGGATTCACATTCCCATGAATCGCTTAAAGAAAATGTCGGTGAGTTTACAAAACACAAGGGCTCAAGCAAGTAACAGGTACGAAGATTGTCTAGGATGTTAGGACCAAGAGGCTACGAACAATTTGGACCTTAATACGTTTTTACGGCTTTAAAGTGTCCAGAAAAAAAGGAGAGAAATCTCAGACCTCCCGCTAAAGAGGACAACTTGACTCAAGTTACTTGAAGTGTCCAAGGAGCTAGGATCACCCAGGTGTCATTTGGACACATCATTGATTACTGGTCAACTTATACTTTGTCCACTTGAATTTTATTTTTCTATTACATAATTAGTTCTTGTTATTATTCATATTCAGATCTAATCCATCTTCTTTTGGCAATTTTCACCTGACCTTCTTCAAAAGTCATATGAATTAAGCTTTAAGGCATTCAAAGTCTGGAGTTCTTCGTTTTAGAGAAGCTATGGTCGGATGTTCTTTCATCAATGAATACATATATGAGAATGAGAAAAAGGAGCCGAGAAGACCATTAAGACAGGACCAAGAAACTAAAAATGAAGAAGATGGAAAAAAGAGAGAAAAAAAAGGTCCAATATTATCGCGGAAGTTCTTTGTGGTTTGTGAATTTCTCTGGATGCAAAAGAACTTTTATATTATCACTGATTTTCTTCTATTTTCACAACAGATTTATCGAACAATGCTCTCCAAGGATGCTAAAATAATTCATTACTACTTATCTTCTTTTCTGAATGTTCAACATCATCATGTACCTCTTGCCTTCATTCAACTTTGATTATGTAGCATTTTTTTTGGTCATATTGGTGAACCCAGGCTTACAAAATTGGTTTGCAACGCTTTGCAAAACCGCAAATCATATCTCAACCAAAAACGTTTCATGAACATTTTGGCTGAATTTTACACTTCAGTTATTTCTTTATAATTCACTTTTTACGATGGGTGGTTCTATTTTGAATAAAATAATGAATAATCAAAGTGTTCCGGTACATTCATTCAAATAAAAAAAAAATAGTTTAAAATCTCTCTTAAAGGAGGCTGAAGACCGGATGCTAAATGAATCAACCCTTTTTCTCACACGAATCCATCATCATCTGGCTATTCAATCATCCTATTCTTTATCCAGTGACTTTGCTCTGACACTTGTCTAAAAGATTTTGCGGCTTTTACTTGAACTCCTTTATGGCATCGTTTCCGTTCAATGATGTCTTAAGAGCTTATTACTCCAAAATGATATCCCCTTTACTTAACTGGTCCTTTCATGCATAAGATTAGCATTCATCAAGATCTTGATCACTCCATCATGATAACATTGATAATTTCCAAAATCCCTAGAAAAAAAGAACAGTTTATTTCATGTCATGATCAGCATCACATTCTTGATCAAGTAAACAACCTGAGAATATTTCCCATCGTTTAGCTTTTAAAAAACAATTCATCCGACACATAGTGTCTGCATTCTACCACCCCAGGCGGGCAACCTTTCGCGCTGTGATTATCCACCAAATGCTTTCCACTTTCTTCCTTTTTCATTAAGCTCCTCAGTGCAGGGCACAATTCTGAGAATGGTTTTCAATGAGTTCAGATGTTATATTATGAATATTACTGAATTAAAAATGAAAATTCCCACGATCTTTTGAAATATAAGTCAATACAGAGATACTTCTAGTTTAATAAATACTGAAAAAAATTTGTGGAAACCAATTTCAAGGGTAAAATTGTCTTTTATCCTCTAATGTGGCTAATGATTCGCAAGATTTACCGGATTATAAATTTTTGCTATTGTTAACCCTATTAGGAACCAAGATTCTTTCATCATTAATTCAGCATTGGACATATTGATTTGAAGTAATTGTTTCCAACTCTTGTAACAATCAAATTTACCAAAGTTATTACTTGATTAAAAGCTTTAAATCAACTTGGATGGTTCATTTCATTCATTCCTTCAAACATATAATGAAAAATGTGCTGAACATATCTTCTATTTTTCTTCAGACAGTAGTGGGTTTGATGAATGCAACAATTTTTAACCAAAACAGTCCATGAGAATATGTAGTTATAAAGTCTAAAGCATTTTTCATCAAAAAAAATGCAACATCACAATAGCAAAATTCTGAGAAGATTTCAATCTTCTTCCACTTCGTAGGTGGCGTATAAACGGATGTAGGTTCATTGTGCCTCGTGCCCTTTGACAATAACTACAAACTGTGAGACTTTATCTAGTAGTGTGGTGGCTTTTAAACCGTCTCCAACATCTATACTACACCTGAAGTACCAAGGAGGCTTTAACAACCCGCCCTTTCTTAAATAAATATCAAGGGAATGGAAATAGAAGAGTTCCAACGCACCGCCCTAGTGCCACGATTTCCACTACACCCACATTATTGATCTATCCATGTACAGATATAGATTTCTACACCAGTCAAATCCCGACCTATACGACTTGCCGTCATTCAAACTTCTGGCCTCTCATTCATAGAATTCTCTAGACGACCGTTCTTTTTTTTACTTGCTTGTCGGTGCATTCACTTTTAACGTCTTTTCCAAGTTTTCTCTCAAATCTATTCTTAATTCTCGTCACCTAGGAATTTAGGCTTATTTTCCACTTTAACGGACATTTTTTAAGCCTATAATCAAACATTCAATCTTCAACTAACGACATCTTAATTATTGCATAAAGATTCTAACTGATGAAAAGTTATTTTCAATCTTTGATCTTGAAAAAAAGTACCAGAATTATTGAGCACCTCTGGATGTATTCTTTTTGTTTTTATTTTGTTTGACCCTGGGCATTCTAACGATCTTTTAGGTTTCTTTGGTCCCAGTTCATCTCCTTCTACCTCTTCTGTTCCTGCCAATAAAGAGCTGACTCGTTGTGTAGCCGTGACGGTTAAAAGAACTGCGGTAACTACTTAAAATATAAAACTTTATTCAACAGTACTTACCTTGCATTTTATTGCTTACATAACGACAAATCTTCTGGTTGTCGGTAAAATTAAATATTCCATTGGATGTTATAGACATTCTGAATTCTTAACTGGCATTTTCTGAATGAGTATGAGAAAGGCCTAATAATTGCCATCCTTCAATTAGGCTTCATCATCTTACATATATTATTTGATACATTCAGAGAGGTTTGAGGAAACTTTGATCCTTGTCTTGGGGTGATCTAAAGCAAAAAACAAAAGATCGTCATTAATTTGAAGGCCGGGTTTTCTAAGTATTCAAGATATCAATCACTTGAATTATCTTCATTTCATTAGTATTATTTTCTCACGTTAAGACCATGAATCTTTTGTAATCTTGTAACACATATAAATAATGACTCTTTGCGATCTAATTGTCTGATAGAATATTTCTAGAAAAGTCCTTTTTTGGTTAAAGAAAGAAGAGGAAATGGTCCAAAGATAAATAAAGCCACTGAAAAATTTTGAAAATGCGGTCATTTCCGAAAGTTTTTTTTGGAGTAGTGACCGCATCTTGAAAAAAAACAATGTGATTTTTCTTAAGTGATCCTTGACGAGAAAAGTATAGGGTCTTGGAAAGACAAAAATGTGTGTAACACTTGATCTTGAAATAAGAGAACAAATTTCTGAAACAACATATCGTAAAAAGCTTAAGATTTAAGAAGATATGTAAACACTTTTTAATACTCAAGTTATTTAAAATTAACTTTAATCTGAATGAGATATATGTAATGGATCTAGCACCTTGAATTTATTTATCATTTTTTAAATAGTTTCTGCCAAAGGTGAAGCATTTAGCATCTTCAGGCAAGAATTTATTCTGGTTAAATGATGATAAGATAAGACTGGTAGATCAAATAGCAACAGAAGAAGTCGAGTATGTACAAATAAAAGATATAAAGAAGAAGAAGAAAGTAAGGATGAGAATAGAAGTCAAGTATCTCTAGCTTTATTTTTTACTATTCCAATGGTCATGCTATTTTCTTTTAAAAAGAAAATGTCTTGTGAATACTCTTGAATCTTTTATATATAAATAAGGCGTGAGGCTTAAAGAAAACTAAGGACAAAGTTCCAAAAGAAAATCCTAAAGAGGTGAAAAATTGTGATTTTGAAAAGAAAATCGTTGAGAAATAACATTTGAACAAGGCACAGTATATCTCCAGACATTTCTTCGTTACGAAATGATTCAAGTTGTCGTGTCCTATGAATGCAAATGATCGCAGTCGTTCCAAGAAACATGTTGATTTTTTCGTTTTACATCCTCAGGCTCTTTACTGTTCTTTTCTTGTTTTTTTTCTGACTCCAGATGAACCGGTCTATCAACGGTTCCCGCCAAAATATTCATCACGTTTCTAACAGCTGATCTAATTGTTTTAAAAACATTTAGCATCATTATATTATCAATTTTAACCAATATTATTTATTTATAACAAAAAAAAAGCTAATAACTAGTCATTATTAATTTTTTTATTGAACTTACATCAGTTATTGAAGACATCAAGCTAATTGATGAATTAAAATGATCCATTTCAAGTTAAATTAAATATTAACTTTCAATATTATAATTGTTGATGAATATTAATGGTTTAAAGACAACAATAAAATTTGCATTTACTTATAAAATCAAAAAGTCATTACTAGTAATTTTATCAAAGTCAAAGTCCCATTTGCATTCTTTACCTGAACACAAAGGTAAACTTAGTTGGCCTGAGGCATGCTAAATTGTCGCAAATCGTGGTTTGACTGAAGAGGAAGAAGGCGGAGCATGCAAGACTCAAAAGATAGTTGTTCAATAAAAATACCATAGAGAAAAAAGTACAAGAGGCATTGATGTCACTTCCTCTCATATCAAGTCTCAGGAGTCTCTGGGGGTGGTTCTGATCTCAATCGTAAATGTTGGAAGATTAACAAAAAGCTTTTTTCTTTCTCCAGCACATACATATATATATAGATTGGTGTGGGAAGACTAGCCACTTTGTGTGGTACCTGTGCTTTCTCTAAGAGGTTACTACCTGCAAAATGTACGACACCACCACTTAGACAAGGAAACCCGCATATTCTTTGTCTTTCTTCTTCCCTCTTGTATTCTATTACTTCTATGTATAGTACCTGTTGTACAATATCCTTCTTTTTTCTCTTTTTTTCCTTCTTTTCTTGTGTACTAAGGCTCAAGATCGTAACAGACAATGTGATAGATCAATTCACATACCTAGCAACCTACATTTTTTCTTCTTCTGTCAATTTACTATCAAGAACTTTGCAATGACGTTCCTGGTAATTTTCATGTTATTTATGTTTACAATTTATCAATGAATCTGGTTTATATTCCTCATTTTTTATTTACCATCCAGTTCATTCAGGCTCACTTCTACTTGAGTAGTTATCAAAAGACAACATTTTATAATAGTCATTTTTATCAACTCCAAAGATATCTTGCTGAATAAAATCCTAACATTTTCATTTAATATGAATAAATGAATTAATTATCTTTATCTACAACAAAAATGTGTTAATTGGTACAATATTTTTATAAATTCATTAACCAAAGTATTCAGAATTATTAAATGTAAAAGAATACTCAAATAATACAAACGTCATCAGAAAATATTTTCAGAGTAAAGATCTTTCTTTGATGTTTCATGAGATGTTTTCGTTGGCTTCTCATTTTATATCATGGGTTATCTCACTCGGTACTGAGTGTGGGATCGGCGCCGTGTGAGATCAAGTTTTTATAAACGTTCTCCTCGTAGCTCTGTCCCTTTTGGATCCCATAAGATTTCTAAAGATCCGACAGACCTAAAGGGAGATGAAAGAAATCTCAGGCCTTGAAGAGTAGAAGACGAAGAGAGAGAAAACAAGACATTGCTCTTTAAATCGCTGCTCAAAGGGATTTAAAAATGGCCGTCGTCTATCGTTTGCCGCCAAAATCTTAAGGTTTCAGAGTCTGCTCAGCTGAGATTTAGTTAACTATTTTTTCTTTCTTGTTTAGTATATCATTAAGTATTCACAGAAATATTATAAGATGCATAATGACAAGCTATTTTATCTGTTTTTTTTTATTTTTGACTTCAGACTCATTTAGATACGGTTCCGCCCTCCTGAAGGTGCAAAATTCATCATCATTCACTACTTTACACCAGTAAAAGAAAAGATACCCTAAGTAATCCTCTTTAAAAAACGATTTGACTCTTCCATGTCTGAGATTAACAGCTGGGTGGGATTTTAATTAGAGTATTTTTATCATTTGAAAAAAATCAGCAGAGTTGAGGGCGTGATTTAGTTCTAAACCCTCCAACAATCTTGCTTAGGGATGTACTAACGTCTTCTTGGCATGTTGCTGATATCTTTAAGGAGACGAATAAACCGGTCTTGCTCAGGGTTTCTCAACTGACGTGTTTAATCCTTCATCATCATTGTGTACTTTCCCGCTAAAATATTTTGTGCAAAGATGTTTTTTTTATTTTTTTTTGTGCTCTTGACACACATTGCTAGATCGTTAGACTTATTGTTTTTTAACTAGGATTTATCTTTCTATTTGACTTAACTTTAAAGTCGGCATCTCTTGAGGATGTTAGGAAAGCATCAGGAATATTTTTTTAAATGAACTCTCCTTTTCTCAGATACTCGAATTTCATTCTTGACCTCACAGACAGGACATTCATTTTGCACAAAGACTTACTTGGTTTAGACATTAGACCTCGAGCAGAAGAATTTTCGGTTACTTTTCAACAACATCTACCCAGTGCCACCATGGCCATCGTTTTCCAAGAAGCTTCTAACACATTATTGCTCCTATATACACTTGTCAGGTTCATGGGTGTGGTGGAAATTTCTTTAATAGCTAGCTTGTATTCTTTCTAATGTTGGTGTGAAAAAAAGTAAAAGTCAATTTCCTATGAGGTTCTTTTTAACTTTTCTTCAGTTTTATTATCACTTCTACATTCCTCAACTTTTCCACACTTGTTTTTTCCTTCATTTCTGATGTGAATGTTTAGTAACAAAGTTACATAAAAATCGAAGAATCAATGGTAAAAAATATTGCACTTGAAAGTTTTGTATTATCTTGGAAAAACTGGTGGCCCATGAGTGGTCATTAAATCAAATGGTGGTTCGGAAAAGAAATCTTTCTTCAAAAGAAATGTTTAACATTTGTTTCTAATTTGAGGAATGTCATATCTCATGTCATAGGTCTCATGTAGTTTGTTTTAGTTTGAACATTATTAATTACTATTTGTAAATAACTCATCCCAATGACTTTAAATATTTTTTTTGGAGCATGAGAAAGTTTAAATTCTATTTAAATATAATCCATCAAACTTTTCTTCTTCATCAAATATACAATGTTTCTGTTACATTTATTTCTTTTCCAGTGCTAATTATTTTGGAGATAAAATTTATTATTATGCAATTAACTGAAAAGTTAAATTTCACTTTCAATAAAAAAAATGTCTTTTTATAATCAAATAACAGAAACATCTTTCACTTAAACCTTTTTATGGTGAACTAATTTTTTAATTCCAGTTTGCATTTCACTTACAATTAGATGTATCCACCTGCTCAACTTCTTTAGTATTTATTACTTTTCTTCGACCTCGTTTTCATCATATCATCCTACTCCATTTTCTTCTCTTTATCCTTAAATGATAAATAATAAATAACTCAAGAATACATTCACATGCTGACCAGGTTCCTGGCAGTGATAGGGTGAATTTTTTTATCTTCTTTCAAGCGACAATTTATATGCCTAACATGTTTTAATATTTCGAGTGTGATATCACATACAGAGAGCAACCATGATTTGTGAATACACCAAATATCTCTAGAGACTTGATAATTACTTCAACCTGAAAATTAGATATCATTTAGATTTGTAAAGATTTCGTAGAAAAATACTTGGCTTAAAAAAATATTTCAAACTGGAAAATGAATGATTTCACGATGATTATGGATAAATTGATAGAGACTAAAAAAAGGTTAACTGATCAGACATTTAAATATGTTTCTATGGAAAGATAATTAATGGAAAGATAAAAGTTGTTAAAACTTACCAAAATTGATAATGGAATAATTGTTACAATTATGGAATCATGTCATATAATGATGTCAAAGAAGAAAAAAGCTATATCATTCATAAAATGGTGTTAAAGAAAAAAAATTCATCAATTTAAATAATGTGGTGGTCCGGGGACGGTTAGAAATTGCGTAACTTCCTCTGTGCCTCTTTCTCCTCCTACTCCTCCTCACCATCATCATTTTTATCTTCTTCTCATTCTCTTCCCTTTCTCTCCCTTTAAATCTCTAACACCGCAACTCTCAAGCTCTCAGGACACGTATGGCAACTTATAAACTGACGTGAATGTTCACTCTCTTCTTCAGTCTCCCAGGGTGGCGCTGAGGTTCTGCCTCGCAACAGCAACGGTTTCTTCAACGCCTCGACAATAACATGACCCTCCTCTTCTTCTTCATTTAAAGTTCGCGAGAACTCTCCAAGTGGCCCTCCGATAGATTTCTCTTATCGCTCTCTCAGCAAACGTTGCTCTCAGCATTACGAAACAGTATTTCTCGTCTGAAAAAATACAAGTCCAATTAAACCAATGATATCAGCAAGTTTTGATGTTATTAAAATATTCAGCATCAATTATACAAAACAAATTTAATTATTTATTCCTTTAAAAAAAAATGAATTTGTTGATAAATTTATTTTATTCTTCATTATGATGATTTTTGAATGGAGACATTTCATTTGATTATTCAATATATTTTTTTGATAATTAAGTTATAAAACTATTTTGAAGTAGTTTAGTATTGGCAGGCTCACATTTGACAACCTTTTTTTTTAACCCATTAATTACCAAGGGTGAAAATAAAACATTAATTGATTTTATTGTTTATAACAATTATAAATAAATTCAAGATAGATGTAGAAAAAAAACATTACTACTTTGATTGCCAATATGTGGATGCCAAACTACCTTAATATATTTTTTATTGACAGAAGTTTATCAAGGTTGAAATTAATTTTTTATAACTAAGTTATGAAACTACCTTAACTGCCTAAAAAGAGGAAAAGTCAATGTCTACTGTTGGAAGATAAATAAAAATGTTGGTACTACTTTTTAGTACATAATAGACTACAATTATTGGTTCATGTTTTTATTTTTTTTAAGCTTCTACTTACCTTCCTCAAGGAGATAAGCATGGGCGCATTTAACTTCCGCACAGGTTTTCCGTACAATTACACCTGTACAATCGCCATATGGTATTGTTTATTCGTGCATATTTCCTTCTGAAGGTGACTTTAACCCTTGAGTTTGAAAAATCGGTAGCTGTAATAATTCATTTTCCAATTAATGTTAATCCAGATTAGTCTTCATTATTATCATTTTGATACTATTTTTGTTATGATATGATTACTTTATTATTATGATTTGGCGGGAATGGTTCTGAGAAATTGAAGGTGAAGACCAAGAAAGAGCATGATGGCAAAAAAAAAGTGTAAATAAAAGAGAAATAAGATTTGAAGGAGCTTAAAAGAGAAGAATATGTGGAGAACAGAAACGAAAGAAGACTCTTTGGATTCGCGGCAACTGAAATATACGTCCAAGCACATTCAGGGACAGGAGGAAGAGGAGGAAAAGAAAGAAATTCCAAGAGTGGAGACGGTTAATGTACCGCTACTGCGTGCTCGGTAACTAAATTCACAGGATCATTGACAACTAAACTGTGGAAGAATCGCATTGGGCGTGTATTATAAATACCAAGAGTAATCTCTGTCGAGGTGAGGATAGAAACACTTTTGGCGGGAAATACATTTCAACCAGAAAACAGATCATTCAGCAATTCATTTTAACTTACAAATAAATCTGATATATTCAACATATTTTTAATTCATAAATCGTTCAATCTAATTATACAAAAATTCTTAGAAATAAACAACAACAATGTTGTTAATCTTGATGCCTCAATGTCAATTTGGAGTCGAGATAGCTTTTTATATCTCCTGAGAGTAGATTGAACAAAATTGTAGTCCAGGTATTAGCTAATCATCATTTCATATAATTCATACTTGGTCTGGTGAGAAGAATAGTCTAATCAGCATCTACATGCGAACAGGTATTGATACGAATTGATATGGTAACATTCCTGATGATTATTTAAAATAATCCGCTGAAAAAAACCATTATTATGCTCATTTGACATTTATTTTAAAGATCCATGGTGTTTCAGAAAGTAAAAATTACCCTTTTCCCAGCAAAGTTTCTAAAACTATTTTTTTGGAGTAAATCTAAAATTTAAATGGTAATCTTCTGTTTATCAACATCAACTGTAGACTGTTCTGTGAAATGATACAAAATAGTTCCATCAAGTTGATGTTTTTTTTTCTGTAACGGATATGCCAATCACATTATCCAATATCATAATCATTTTGACCAGAAAACAAAGATACTTATAATCGCAAGCTCATTCAAGATTAAATATAAAAACACATGTGAGCTAATAAATAACAAATATTAACTAATACAATCAGTTATTGTGGGTGAATATGAGATTGGCGAGACTGTTTACACGAAGGAATTTAAAGGCCAGACCGCCGGAGTTGGCGCGCCCTTCGATCCTCGCCGCTGGCCGCAGGGGAACAAGAAAAAGAAATAACTAAATAAGACCAAGAAGAAGACAGTGAGAATCGGGTAAGATACAAGGTAAAAGTCTAAGGGAGAAGGTAGACCCTAACCCTCTTAAAGTTCGGCGAAAGGCCAACTCACGTGGCGGTGGGCGGGGTACATTTTTTTCAGAAAAGAAAAAGAACAAAAAGAAATACAAGTGCAATATAGATTTACCCAGAGACTTTTATTACGTCAAGATTTCTTTAAAATTACTATTAGATTTATGTTTTTATGTTTATGTTTTTCATTCTTTACTTGTTGGTGGCGCTTGAAAATCTAGCGGAAGTTATTGGGATATTAAATAACAGTCATTTATCGGTCTAATTGAAAATTCTTGAAACGTATTAAATCACTTGCTGAGTGGACTTTAAATACATTTGAGTATTTTTTTTTCTTTATTTCAAGAAGTTGAAACAATCTTACATTCTTGGCTGCTGATTATTGTAAGCTGAAAGGGTGTGGCAAACAAAATACATCAAGATTGTTTTCCCGCCAATTTTACGGTATTATTTTTTTCTCAAAGCACTTGTTTATTTCTTTTTGTTTTTAACTGACTAAAGAGAAAAGAACCGAAATTTCAACCACGCTATCAAGATAATAGTATGGGGTTCAGAAGCTGTTACAAATTTATGAGAATTACAGTACCGACGAGAGAAGTTTTCAAAAAAGTAAAAAAATAAAAATTTCGAGAGCCAATGTACTATATAATGGCCATTGATACCTACCATTGCAAAATACCAACTTCTTCATGCTTCTCTGTTTACAAATACAGACCGCGTTCTCAGACCCTTTACATATGTTTTTTTACTTCTTTTACTTCACCTTCTCCTCGAAGGAATCCCCTGTTTGCTTTCATGTGTGTTTTATTTTTCTTGCCAACTTTTCTCCCACTCAGCAACGTGACGGTTGAGATTTAAATTCCCGCTGTACAGAGGGAAGGGAGAGCACCAACGCATGAGAACCACCAGAAGGGAGAGGCATTCTGAACCTTCCAAGTGGTCCCAAGCCTTTAAGTCTTTTTTTTACTCGTTAGGAGAGATATGGATATGAATCTATTTCAATTTTTAAATCATCTTTTATTGAAATACATAACTTGATACAATTTAAGCAAGCTAACTTTTCTAATTGACTCCATTAGTTAAATAATCATTGTTTATTTCATCAAAGCTTGCTAATGAATTATCACATCTCCATCATCAAAACAGAATATTGGTAATTGTACCAAAGTATCTTTAATTGAAGGCAACTATTTCCATGATAAAATGAAGCCAAAAGTCTTCAACTATTGGTCACTTAGACAGCATTAGGTCCACCAAGAAGTCATGTAACTCTTTGTTGAGTGAACTCACCAAGCCTCTGGGCCCTTCAAAATGTGTCGAAAGTTTGATTTATTTAGTTAATAAATCAACTGAACAGTGTTCCAGAGTTGGAATGAATAACCAATGTCATGAACGTTAATTGAGTCATCATCTGAGTACCGACCGTTATGATATCAATGCATTACTATTGAAATATCGTCCAGAAGCGAATGGGTATCAACGCCCCCATGGGCGCGATAGCTGGTCAAAGCGCATAGTATATATTGTTTAACAGCTCTTCGGGGTCATACGGGTGCGCAGATGTTAGGGCATCGTTGGCATGGGGTTTACTACAGACGAGTAATCGATAACGACTTTGTGAAAGGGGTGGCAAGGCAGAATAATCAATATGATACCAGAAATATCCCAAAATTTCAATGATTTATTTTTTTGTTATTCAAAACTACTTGACTTATCTATTCTTCCTCCTTAGAGGCAATTTTTCTCATAGTTTATTATTTAAAATTATTAAATAATAGTAGTAATTATTATTTAATAATTAGTAGTAATTATCCTGTTTATAATTTTTATTTACCAAGACATCTTTATGAACTGCATCATTTATTTTAATGACTTTAACAAAAGAATGCTTTTTTTACTTATAACTCTCCACTTAAGAGACGTTTTTAGCATATATATTATTGATGAATAATAAGAGAGGAAGAATTTTGTTAGAAATTGATGACCTATGATAATTATACGGCACATTCAAAGAAGAAATCTGTAATCTTCAATCTTAGCTTGAAATGAAAATCATCGTAGGGATTTTAACGAACCTGTAGGTATTATGTGAAAATGTGATGAAGTCTATTGATACATATAATTTAACAAAAGCTTTTAATTTTGTCTGGTAATGATGAAGTAACAACCTAATATTTACATTGCATATTACCAACTATTGAATATTTTGACAACATTGCTGAATAAGATTATTATAGAATTACTCCAAAATGATCAGAATGACTATTCCTAAATATTGGAGTAAGAATAAAGCTTGATGGTTATTTTTAATTCAATTTTGGAACTTAAGTAATTGAATCAATTAGTTGATACCTCGTTCTAGAAGTGTTTAGTGCAAAAAATTCCCATTGTTAGAATAATTTATTGGAAATGAACATTAGGTAGGTATTAGCTTGGTGACCAGTAAATGTTCTCGTGCTAAAAGCACGTTCATGTACTTTATTTTATCTTCAAGTAGTGTTCGAAGTCACACGCCAAAGATTAAGTGCCACAGAGAGCATGGTTGATTTATTTGGCATTTCTAAATTTCATTTACTTCAAGAGATCCTGGGAGAATGCCGTGCGGATTAAAAATTCAATGGTCAAACCCAAGGTGGTTGAATGCTGACCGATCAACCATAAACTCTTTATTTCAGACCCGCATTGATTTTGATTTTGAAACTAAGCTAGATATTCGAGTCAAAAGAGCCCAAGTGTTTCTACTACCTGTATGCTCAACTGGTAGATATAGCTTATTAGAAAGTTTTGAACAATTTTCATGCTTCTAGTAGCTGAGGTTATTGCATGGTTAGGTTTATTATTTACTAACATTGTGGAGGACCCCACGGTTGGAATTTCTGCAAATATTCAAGTGGATTGTAATGGTAACTTAGAGGATTATCCACAGCTGTTGCAGGTCTGTAGTCAATGATTTCACAATGTAATTTGTGTAATTTGTTTGGGAAAGGTAAGAGCCATGAAAACCCAATGCCTTTTTCTGTCTCTTCTAGCAACTAGACTGAAAAGGTATGCCATTTTAACAGCTGCCCATGTCTTCTTCTTTACTATATAACATATTAGCTTGAGTTTTCAAATTAAACTGTCAAGGTATCATCACGGTACCTCATTTTGCTAGACTTCGACAGATTTATTCCTTGGCATGCGACCCAAAATTTCGCAGCACGACTGTCTTGACCATTTTGTAAGTGGGTTTATTGCTGTTCATAAATGAAGAGCTTTTCGACCTAAATGTACTCGTATTGAATGTATCATTAAAGTAGACTAACGAGACGAGCAAAAATAAAACCATTTTGATGAATTTGCTGTCAATTGTCGGTTTCCAACACGTCAGGTCTTTTGTTCAGTTGCTGCAGGTAAGAGTGAATGACTACACAAGTCGGCGGACGGTTTGTAAAATTGGGAAATTCCACCAGCTTATTTATTTCTTTACTGCATTGTTTCATTTATGGCTCAAGCTCAAGATTTATCTCCACTAACCTCTTAACTGCACGCATTTTCGGTGCAAATAACGATAAATAAAATATAACGTTTCTTCTCTAGTACGTGATTTTAAAAAGATTTATT